TTGAGAACCGCTAAGGACCAGATGATTTTTATTATGTCCTGTTACGTAAAACCATAGAACTGAAAGAGGGTGTACTTTCTTTTTCACACAACTGTAAGGCCTTTTTATATAATGATTGATATATTTCTAAAGGTAATACGCTCAGAAAGAAAGAGTATAATTTTTTTCTAAAATTTTCAAATCTGAAGGTTTTCATCCTGACACAATCTTTCTCTTTTAGTCCTACTGATTTTCAGTTTCTTTAAGGCTTTTTCATATCCATATTAGTAATTATCACACTAAATTGGACCAAGATGTAGACTATTCTGAAAAAAGATTTTGGACCTCCAAATGTCACAATTGGATGTTAAATGCTTCCTGCTTATGATCCTCTAAAAATAATACTGGTTACAGCATAAACGTTATTAGTTTAGAATCTTTTTACATGATGCATGAGTTGTTTCTGGATATATAAAATATATATATTGTCAGGTTGAGTCAGGGGGTTAATAGTATAGATAGACACATGGTGGGAAGGATTTGTTCTGTTTTATTGTTATTTATTCTTATTTTTATCGGTGGTTGTGAGCTACCTGGGATCAGGCAATCATATAAATTATTTAAATAAATAAATACCTGGCATTATGAGTCAAAGCCAGCTTTTATGCATCCATCATTGCCCTCTCTTCTTCCAGAGTAGCAGGGAGGAGGGATCTGAATCTTCCACTTTAAATTTCACCACAGTCCAAGTTTACAATAAGATTAATCTCAATTAAAGTTTATTGAATCAAGATAGCTTTATAAACCAAGGTTTGAAATTGGTTTGTTTCACTAAACCGTGTATAATAACCTTAGTTTGAGACTTCATAGAAATCTAAATGGTAGTTATCCAAATCCAGTATCCAGTTGTTCTGCTCAAAACAGAAAGGGAAAGCTGGAAGCACAAGCCCAAGACTTAATTAAACTTGTTCTAAGAATAATAAACTGTGGTTTATTGTTGATTCTGGATGAAGACCTACAGGCATAAGAAAAGGAAGCATTCAGAAAACAGTGGGAAAACATTTCAGTCTCCTGGGACATTCTTCTGCCGACCTAAAAATTACTATATTCTTAAAAAGGAGTTTCATGGGAAGAAATCACTATATTACAATTTATTTATACAAATTGTATTACAATTTATTTGATTCTGTCATATAGATATGACTTTAGATAATGATTTATTTTGTTTTGCCCTACTATAATTATTAATTAACTGATCAGTGTTAGGATTGTCCTATTTATTACTGATCACTGCTGTTGTGATGGTCCCTAGGACCATTTTACATACTTTCAAGATTACTTTATCACAGATTATACTTTTTGAATACTTCATGAT